CGATCTATGGGTCTTTTTGGGAGTCCTTGGTGCCCGCAAAACTCTTCTCCAGCTTCACATCTCCAGCAAATGTATTTGCTTCCTTCACCCCAGGCATAGAAATGGGAAATAGGATGGCGAGGACCTTCTTAACTTTAGCATTTCAATTACAGTATTTGGCTTGACCCTTCCTTCGGGATCTTGCCTGGTTCCTTCTTATTTTTTGCTCTTCTTCTCATTTCTTGGCTGCACTCTCGATTCCGATTGATGACTGAGGCAAGGGATGGAAATCAATAAGTATTATAGCATCTTCATCGTCTAGCTTAAACTTATGTAAAGCATCTACGGTCATTGTTTTTGGTTTTTTGGTTTTTTTTTTTAATTTTTAACCGTAAAGCTGCTTTTGCACTTCCTCCTTGACTTCCTTCTGCAATTGTTCCAGGTCTTTGCTGTTTTGTGCTGGCCATATAGTAATTAGCATCTGCATCTCTCGATGTCCTTCGTCCGACTTCCATGCCTCCTTCCTCCAGGGCTGACTCTGTTTTATACATGATAGGTTCAGAACACAAGCTAAAAAGACAGACAGACGCCTTGCCTGACGCATTTGTCCACTGGAAACCGCTCCTTTTCCCCTGAGGAGGAGGAGGATGGTGATGTCCGACTGCAGCCTCTTGCTCTGAATGCAGGACACTCAAATGCTGCAACACTTCCTTTGCAGCAGCACTCCCTAGTTTTGCACAATCTGCATCAAAGGCTTTGCCATAACATATAAAGCGCAGGCTGATTTTCTCTTCGCCCCCCCCCCCGATTATTTGGTGCACTCCATTGTCCAAAAGTATGTTTGCAATATGATCCCTAGTGCCACTTCCTTCACTTCCATCCAACTCAGGACTCAGGGGACTGACGCAGATTAAAAGAGGGACAGATAAAAGCCCAGGTGAGTAAAAACACGCCAAAGAGAGGTCATCGGCCAAATCACCTGGAATTCCAGAAAAAGAGGAAAAGGGGGGGGGGGGTAAAGAAGCAGACCTCTCCCCCCATTTTAGGCCCAGAGCCGCAATAAGGGCAGAGCCGCCTCCCTGTAGGAACCTCACCTGGCCCTGATACCTTTTGCATTGCTCTCGGTTCCATTGATAAATTAATGATGTCTGGACTGGGATCAATGCAAAACAGATAAATTTAAAAGCCGAGAAGTAATTTCCTCCTAAGCAGGCAGTTCCCGGAGGCCTACTGAAATAACAGTAGTGGTTGCCGTTCTGTTGAAAATTAGGGTTTCTCAAGGTGTTTTAGTTAGCCCTTCTTATCTGGTTTAATATTGTTTTAAGGGGAGGGAGGGAATAGGGCTGGGGTATATTGTATTTTCATAGTGTGAGCCGCCCCGATTGGTCTCAGAGGGGCGGGATACAAATTATTATTATTATTATTATTATTATTATTATTATTATTATTATTATTTGGGACAAAACGTCGAAGCTAAAACCCTTAGGATCCAGCTTTCTTTTAGCAGATCAAGTATGCTTAAGTCTGACATTTTCTTCCCTGAACTGAAACTGACTCAAAGTATAAACAAAGCAGGCAGTTTTCGGTTGCAAACTTAGAAAAAGTCTTCTAATTAGGCAAAAGAAAGAGCTTCTGTGTTGATCTCTCTCT